TTTGTATGTTTAGCAGAGACATGGCCACTAGAAGGTGGCGGGAGGTCTCGAACTCACGGCCTCTATTGATCCGTCCACCTCGGCCCCCAGTGCTGGGGGACACTTTGATTTTCTATAGCATTGTGTTACGGATATTTCCATACAATTCAAAATAGGAAGCAGAGGGCAGAAGCCGAACTGAAGTTGAGACTCTGGACTCTCAAGGTCCTTAGAGACAAATTGTAGATAAAGCGACAAAATCCAGAATTGACATGTTGTGGTTTTGCTGATAAAGAACAGTTCTAGATTATAAATAATTACTTAATCACCTGAGTATTTAAATCATTTAAACTGGTTCTGCTTTCATACTAAATACCATGTGACATCCCTAATGGTTTATTCATCACCAGTTGCTGACAGCGTTCTTATCCTATTAGATGTTTGCATATTTTAGAAGAAGAGTTTGAAACACAGATACACTTACGACAAAAAATACATGAAAGTCTTTCACGTCAGCACAGACTTTGAGTACCTAAATCATCCGGAGAGTTGGATCTGAGATGTGTTTTGAGCTGTATTCATGATGAAGGGCGCCAGGTGTCAGTTCTAGTGAGAACCATTTCCAGGAAGCCATTTCCCTCTTGGTAAGGCACCCGCTGCCTCATGCAAGGTAGGAAAGAGCCAGCGTCATCGCCTCCCCATGATGTGGTCAGCACGTCAACTACATGGGCAGGCGCCAGATAACATCCTGTGGCTGCTGAGCTGAGCTGGGCGCGGCCGCCTGTCTGCACTGGCAGCACCATGTATCGCGCTCATGGTGATCAGCGTGGCGTGTGTTGTGGGTGCAGGAAGGGGGTGGCGGAGGAAGCGCTGGGGGTGGAGATCTGGGCCTGGAGTGAGGATATGGGCTAGGGTGCAGGAGATATGGGCTGGCATGGAAGGATGGGCCTGTAATGGAGATATCAGCCTGGAGTAGAGATATGAAGCTGGAATAGAGATAGGATCCTGGAGTAGAGACATGGCGTGGAGTGGAGATACGGGTCTAGAGTGGAGATATGTGGGCCTGGGCTGGAGATCTGGGCCTGGAGTGGAGATAGGATCCTGGGTGGAGTCTGTTCCTGGGGTAGAATTGGGCTGGAGTGGAGATATGGGTCTGGAGTGGAGACATGGGTCTGGGTGGAGATATCGGTCTGGAGGAATAGGCCTGGAGAGGGATATGAGCTGGGGTGCCAGGAGATATAGGTCTGGAGTGCAGATATGGGCCTGGAGTGGAGATATGGGTCTGGAGAAGAGATATGAAACACGGAGAGGAGATGCTGGGCCTGAGGTTGGACTGAGTCTGGAGTGGAGATATGGGCCTGGAGTGGAGATATAGGTCTGGAGGGAGATATGAGCCTGGAGGAGATATGGGCCTGGGGTGGAATGAGGGCTGGGTGGAGATAGGATCCTGCAGTGGAGATATGGCATGGAGAGGAGATGGGAGCCTGGGTGGACAGCTGGGACTGGGGTGGAGATATGAACCTGGAGTGCAGATATTGGCCTGGGGGAGATGAAGCCTGGAGTGGAGATATAGGCCTGGAGGGCAGATAGGAGTGGAGGAGATAGGCCTGGAGTAAAGACCTCAGCGTCGGAGTGAGCATGTGGGCCTGTTGTGTAGTCTAGGCCTGGGTGCAGATCTGGATCCGGAGGCTGCCGAGTCTCTGCACAGCTGACATCCCTGCTGCGGGGGCAGGTGGGCAGCCAGGGTGGGTTGCCTTCAGCCCAGCAGGGCCTGGCTGCCCAGGCACTTTAGCCCGTGGGGGCAGCAGGGGAGGGAGCCCTGGTTTGCCTGCAGATGGATCATCCATCATGATCTTTCTTTCCAGTTCTTGGTCAAGGGCACTATCCCACCACGGGTGGTCTCCTTCCCAAACCTTCAGGGTGTCATCTACCCTAAGAGGATTTCCTGAAACAGGAGAGTCACCTGTCAGAGTCTCTCATAAAACTAAGAAGGGAGACCCTGGGGTGCTTTCGGCTCACACTTCTGACCTCGTCTCTGCCGCCTTTCTTACCTTAGCTGAGTCAAGCTCTGTGAAGACCCAGGGGTGAGCTTGGGGTACTCCAAGCTGGGGGTGTTACAGGGAGGAAGTGGTGTCAGCAGCTGGGGAAGGGAGGAAGCAGTGCACAAGGAACAGCAGGTCCTCTGAGACAAGGTGTAACTCACACCCTCAGTGTTTTGCTCCATGACGGAGGTCAGGGCTGCAGTGTGGCTGCTGTCATTCTACAGAAAGAGGTGGGGAAACCCTGACCAAGCCTGACATTCCAAATCTCATGTTGGGGGCTCAGTTCACCACTAGCTGATATTCATTCACAAAGGAGACATGCCTCATGCCGTGTCTACTTTGTGTTGTTTTATGTGATCATCTTGAAGTGTTAAATCTAGTAAGGTCACTTATTCAGCACTTGTTCCAGCTCTCAGCTGACACCTTTGTTGGCAGGGCGCATGATGTGGGATGGGGAGTTCTTCTGTAGCCCTGGACACCCAGGTGTGGTAGGAGCCTTAGAAACATGGAAAGGGAAGAATCTTCTGAGCACAGGGAGGGAGGGGTGGCTCACATCCTCCTCTCTCTAGGCGGCACCTCAGCTACCCCAGGTGGTCAGGACACAAGACCTTCCTGTCTCTTACTTCCCGGCCCTGCGATCTGGTGCCTCAGGAGAACCGTGACCTCTTGGTCTGTCACTATCCTCGTGAGTTTAACAACTTTCAACTTCACTCTGTACAAAGATGACCCAGAAGGCACGTTCCCATCTTCCACAGCAGAATATTCCAGCCAGAAGCTTCCTCATGGGCCCCTGTGATGACCCCGGCTGCACGCAGGGGCCTACAGATGTCGGGAGTTCCTGCCGCACTCCCCACACTGGTGGTGGCGCTCGTGATCCCTGATCAGGGTCACAGGTCAGAGGCTCCTGTCTGAAGCCTCCTTGTCCCAACTCCTGAATCAGAGCTTCTGCTGGGGGCCATCGTCAAGTCCCATCACACAGGACTGTTCTTTGCAGGGTAAAGGGGATTTAATACAGGGAAATGGGGTGCTGTGATGAGAAGAATAACTGTCCCCAATATGGTTACATTCTAATCCCTGGAGCCTGTGACTCTCTTTTTATGCTGTCCTGAGGCAGGGGACTGAGGGAAGAGGGAGCTCAGGGCTGTTGATGAGTTGACCTTGAGATGGGGAGGCAGCCTGGACTGTCCACTGGGCTCAGTGGGAATCACAAGGCACCAAGCGAGAGGAGGATGACAAGAGTGGGGGGATTAGAGCAGCGTCGTGGGAAGTCCATCCAGCCACTGTAGGCTTTGAAGGTGGAGAAGCCACGGCCACAATGAAAGGTGGCCTCTACGGGCTGGAGAAGTCAAGAGAATTGCTCCGTAGTCTCCAGAGGGAACACAGTTCTGTAGACGCCTTGATTTTGGCCCAGGAACTGGGATCAATTTTACTGCCTCTAAAAGTGGAAGGGGGTCACTGTATTCTCTCCTGGCACCATGTTCCTGATAATTTTTGCCACAGCAACAGGAAACCAAGACAGGAACATGGTCAAGGACAGAGATTAAGAAACAAGCGATAGCGAGGGCATGGTGGTGGGCGCAGGTAAAGCCAATGACGGATTCAATAAAGCGAATCCGGAAGCGAAAGCGCAGTGAGCCAAGACCACACCTATACCTCAGCCTGGGTAGAAAAAGTGACACTCTGTCAAAAATCATTTAATTAATCAAGCCAATTAATTAAAGAAACCAAACAAGGAGAAGGTTGGCGAGACAGGAAGGGCTAGGCGTTGATGCCACCACCAGGCTCCATCCACATAGGAAGTCGATGCTCCTTGAACCAGCACCAGGAGCCCACCCTGACTGAGGCCATGGAGAAGGCACAGGCATGGCAGGGCTCCCAATCCCCACCAGGAACAGGGAGTGTGTGGACACTGGTGCCTGCCTTACTGATCCCAGTTCCTTACCTCCTGCCAGGGACTCAGTTTGTCCAAAGAGATTGAACCAGGCTGCTAAGAGCCTGGAAGTATCTGCCGTGGTTCCTCTTCCAGCCCACACAGACAGGAAACAGATTAGTGGGAAACAGATACAACAGCCTTTAAGAGATGGGGCTGAGCCCAGTGGGAAGGGCATCCAGGCTACTAGAACAGACGGACAAAAGAGGGAGGGACACAGATGAAGGGAACTGCACCAGGGGATAAAAAGACAGGGAGACACAGAGAGGGAGGAGAGAGACAGAGAGCCGGGAGGGGAACCTCACTCATTCCAGGTGCCATGGATATGATGGCTTAGGAGAGCGCCTTCTAAACTCACAACCTCTTTCTAGAGTCCACAGAAAACGCTTCCTCCTACACAAGCCTCCAAGGTCCTAGTGAAATCAGGAGACGGAGTCACCTACAATGTTCGTCAGATGTCGTGTTTGACACTTCTTTCTGCACAGTGAGGTGAACTTTGAGAAGCCCTTGCACCTTGTTGGAAGCTCCATGGTGGGGTTCCCAGGCCAACCATTCCATCAATTCCTGACGTCCTGACCTTGCAGGGACCTACCAGATGCTACAGTTCTGTCCTCATTCCCACTATGTGTTGTCAGCTCCCAGTGACCCCTCGACATCGTGATCACAGGTGAGAGTATCCGGACATTCTTCTCATTGTCACTGGGACACAGAGTGAATGATCCAGTACCTGGAAGCCCAGTTTGTCATGAGGAAGATGAGTGTGGGATTCTTATGGAAGAGAGACTGACTTGGCGAGGTCTGTACCAACAGAGACAGAGAAATAGGAGACACAAGTACAGACCAGGTGTCATAACAGAGGACAGACACAGGGGCCATACAGGGAGGTAGAAAGAGAAGAGTTAAAAGGGGACACCCAGACAGACAGACATGTCCAGAGACAGTCGTCCTTCTGTGCTGACTTTGCTCAGAGACTCGGCACAGGTTGAAGCACTTCATTTCTGTGTTACCTCCCACCAGCGTTTCTACCAGAAGAACCCAAGGGACACCCCATGTTCTCTCCTGAGTCAGCCCCAGCCTCAGGCCTTGTGGCACCTACAGATGCCGTGTTTGTTCTGACACCTCTGCACCAGTACAGTGGAGTCATCGTCAGGATATCATGGCCCCAGAATGCCAACCCCTCTGTATGCTGTGTGTACTTGGGTTCCCAGGCCTACCACGGATTCTGAGGCTAATATTCCACAGAACCCCACATAAACAGGATTCCTGAGAGACACAGGGAAAATCAGGAACATCAAAAGCTGCAAAGACATGGCCGGGCGCGTGAAACTTGACCTGTAATCCCAGCACTTTGGGAGGCCGAGACGCGGGGCGGATCTGAGTCAGGAGATCGAGACCATCTGGCTAACACAGTGAAACCCCGTCTACTAAAAATACAAAAAAACTAGCCGGGCGAGTGGGCGCCTGTAGTCCCAGCTACTCAGGAGGCTGAGGCAGGAGAATGGCAGAACCCGGGAGGCGGAGCTTGCGGTGACCGAGGATCCGGCCACTGCACTCCAGCCTGGGCGACAGAGAACTCTGCTGCACAAAAAAAAAAAAAAGCAAAGACATAAACACACCACCAGAGAAATGAGCCAGAGGAAGGGACTGAGACTCACAGACACATAAAGAGAAAAAGAGGGCAGGGAAGTGGAGAGAATGATGGAGAGGGAGCAGAAAGCTCCAAAATCAGAACCCTGAGGCGCAGAGGCACAAGAGAACAGAATAGATAAAGCTGTGAGAGGATGGATTGCAAGTTAAATAGAACTAGAGAGACTGAGAGGCAAGAAAGACAAGGAGATGGAGAGACGGATGGTAGATGGATAGATAGATGAGATAGATAAATAGGTAGATGATAGATAATGGATGGGTTATAGATACATAGATGGCAATTGATAGATAGATATTCACATAGAGATTATGACTGATAGATAGATAGATCAATGAATGGATAGATAGACACATGGATGGTACATAGATACGTAGATGACACATAGAGACAGAGGCAGACAGATGAGAATAGACAGATGATACACAGATATAGATAATAGATAGATGGTGGATAGATGAGACAGACAATTGATAGAGATAGATACATGATACATAGATATAGATTACAGATAGATAATTGATAGATTGACAGGTAGTAGATAGATCGATCTAATCGATGAATAATAGATAGAAATGTGCAGAAGGTTATGAACAAAAACGAAAGTGAGAAACTCAGAATTAAAGAAAAGGAAGATCAAGTCAACAATCCAAGGAGGTCAGAGAGAAGAAAACAATACAAAAAGGGAAAACACACCTCGGAAGGCTGGAAGTGAGGTCAGAGACCTAGAGACACAGAGAGAAAGTGGAAGGAGGAAACAGACAAGAAGAGACGGGGTGGAGGGTGGCAGAGAGAGCATTAGACCACATAGAGCAGAGCAGGAGTTCTCCAGCTCAAGTCGCAGAGGAGCTGTGACAAGGAAGAACCTCTAAAGAGCTGCCTCTTCTCCTTCCAGGTATATATAAAAACCTTCTATCGTAGCCTAGGCCCCACAGTGCAAACACCCGGAGAGAACCTAACCTTGTCCTGCAGCTCCCAACGCCGCTTTGACATGTACCATCTATCCAGGAGGAGACCATGAACTTGAAGCTGCTGCAGTGCCAAACATCAATGGAACATCCCAGGCCAACCCTCTGAGGCCTGTGACCCACGGAGGAGACCTACAGATCAAGCGGTTCTTCTTTCCATACACACCCTACCAGTGGTCGGTCCCAAGTGACCCACTGCATGTTTCCTGTCACAGGTGAGAAACTCATGCCTGTCCCATGTCTTTATGATCCCAGAGCCGCTAGCTGAGGAACTTCCTGCTGATGATGGAGAGAAGCATGGGCAGGATTCAGAGAGAAGACCAGAAAGCCGGTGTGGCGGATCAGGGCGCGGATGGCAGAGAGGAGCCTCAAACCCTCCTGCATGGCCTGCGTGGTAGTCTCATGATCAGGGCTCCAGGCATCCAGGCAGATGGAGAAACTGGTCAGGACAGACCCAGGAGAGGGAGGCACAGGCTCAGTTTGGGAGATCAGAGATTCCCTCGGCCCCTCAACGTTACCCATTTCCCAGAAACCCATCCCGGCCTCTCACCCACACACAGACATATCATCACCAGCAACCCTTACACCACTTTGCTTTTCATTTGAAAAAAATGTTGTTGAGAAGGTTAATACCTCTCCTGACCACCTTTACCATTTTTAAATTGTAAAGTCTGGTCATAAAAATGCATTATATTCTGTTTGGTTTTTGTTTTTTTTTTTGTTTCCCTCCACATTCCCTTCACCTGGCCTCTGGTAGCCACCATTTACTCTCTACAGCTTCTTGAGATCCACTTTAGAGCTCCTGCAGGAGAGTGAGAGGTGGGAATCTTTGTAATGGCTCCAGTTCCATCCATTGGGCTGCAAATATCCACAGAGGATATTGTCTCTGCTGGATGAGTAGTCTCCACTGTGTGTATGCTACATTCTCTCTATCCGTTCACTTAGCGATGGGCAGGTAGGTGGACTCACATCTGCTTCTGTGAACTGTGCTGGAACAGTCATGGGGTGAATGGGAACACATACACTGAAGTCCTTTCCTTTGGATGTAAACCCAGTAGTGAATTTGTGAATACTATGAAAATTCTCTTTTAGTCATTTGTTTGGTTTTGTTTTCTTTTTGTTTTGAGGCTGAAGCTTTCCTCTGTGGCCAGGCTGGAGTGCAACCTGACACAATCTAGGCTCATTGCAACCTCCTGGGAGGCAGTGGCCTCACTGGAATCAAATGATTCTTCTGCCTCCAGCCTCCTGGGAGCTGGGATTACAGGTGCACGCCACACCGCGCAGCTACGTTTGTAGTTTTTAGCTGAAGCAGGGTTTCCCCATGTGTGGTGATCAGGCTGCTCTCAAACTCCTGACCTCAAACGAGGTCGCCTCGCTCTCAAGCTGCTGGGATTACAGGCATGAGCCACCATGCAACCTCTTTTAGTTTCTTAAAGGACTTCCATATTTTTCCTGCTTGGCTGTATGATTTTACTTTCTTACCAACAGGGTACCGGGGTTCTCCTTTCTCTACCACCATCTTGCCAGTATTTGTTTTGCCTGTCTTATGGATAAAACTATTTTAATGGGGTGAATGAAGATTCATTCGTGATTTTTCATTTGTATTTCTCTGATGATGAGTGATACTGAACACTTTCATACACACACATAGTGGCCATTTATATGTTTTGTTTGTGGAGAAATGTCTGTTCAAGTCTTTTGCTCATTTTTAGTTAAATTGTTTGTTTATTAAGGTTATAGCGAGCTTCTTATATTTCTAGTTATAATCCGTCATAGATCATAGTTTGCAAATATTGGCTCCCATTCTGTGGGATTTGTCTCTTCCTGCTTTGTTGGTTGCTTATTTTGCAGTGCAGAAGCTGCTTAGTTTGATGTAATCTCGGTCCGTTTTGCTGATTACTCGTGTTTTGGGGATTTTTAAACAAAATGTCTTTTCTCAGACCGATGTCTGAAGCATTTAATATTTCTTCTACATGTTTCGCTGGGACAGGCCAGACTCTTATTTAATCCATTTGGATTTGACTTTTCTGAATGGTGAGAGGTAGTGCAGTTTCATTCCCTGCATGGAGATAACCCGTTTTCCCGCATCGTTTATTGAAAAGACTGTCCTTTCCCTAATTGTAGGTTCTGTACTTTTGTCAAAATGCATTGAATTGGCTGGGCATGGTGGCTCACACCTGCAATCCCAGGACTTTCAGAGGCCAAGGTGGGTGGATCACCTGAGACCAGGAGTTCGAGGCCCGCTTGGCCAACACTGGTAAAACCCTGTCTCCACACTAAAAGTACAAAAATTAGCTGAGCATGGTGGTCACCACCTGTAGCCTGCCTACTCAAGAGTCGAGGCAAGAGAATTGCTTGAATTCAGGAGACGGAGGTTGTGAGGCAAGAGATTGCACCTCTGCACTCCAGCAGGTGACAGAGCAAGATTCCATCTCAAAAAAAAAAAAAAAAAAAAAAGCGTTGAATGTAGACGTATAGATTATATCTGTGTGCTTCATTTTCTCCATTGTTCTATGCATTTTCTTTATACCCAGCATCATGCTGTTTGCTTACTACAGCTCTGTAACTTATTTTAAGTCAGGCAATGTGATATTCTGTTTTCCTTTCTATATCTTAAAGTCTCTCAAGACAAGGGCAAAACCTACAAAAATTGCTGGAGAAGAGGATCCCAGGACTCCCAGAGCCCAGGTGTTGGATAACAGAGTAGCTGGCCATGAACCAACCTCAAAGATTTCGCCAGAGGACAGGCACCCTCATTTCTCCCTCTCTCGGTCTCTATTCTAGGAAACCCTTCACGTGTAGTTGGCCTTTACCCACTGAACCAAACTCCAAAACCGGTGAGAAATCCTTTATCTCTGCTTTTGGAAACCTGGGAGATGGAAGCCTTGGTTCAAGCGCTTGGCTCCAGCACCTCCCAGCTCTGATTATGGGCCTGTCTTCCACCATCTCTCTGAACTCCAGACACTCCAATAGCAAAAGGGATCTTGGCCCAGCGCAGAGCTCCGTAAAGTCTCTTAATCTCTAATCTTCTGCAGCTGAGACCTCCACCACAAGCTGGAAGAATAATTGCAAATCTGACATCCTTCTCAGGGAAAATGCAGTGTTTGTTCTCCCTGCATTCCTAACTAGAGGATAAATTCTGGGGGGCTTGAAAGAGGAAGGGAAGGGAGCATCTAATGAGGCCAAAGTGTTTTTAGAAGATCCACTTGCCAAGAGGAATGAACTCCTGTGGGTCATGAGGCAGCCTGGCTGACTCAGCAGAGCAAATGCAGTAAAGAGCCTTGCACGCACACTCCGACTCTCTGACTCATTCATCCATGGCCCCATGCTCAGGCTGTGCAGTTACAGAATCCTTTCCTATTGTTGCCGCACATTTCCACAAAATTGGTGGATGAAAACAAAGCAGCTTAATTATCTTACAGTGCTGTAGCTCAAGAGGGTGAAATGCACCTCACTGGGCTAAAATCAGGTGACAGCAAGGCTGCCTTCCCTCTGAAGGTTCCAGAGAATCTGCTCCTTCACATGTCCCAGTTTCTGAGGCTCCCACAGTTCATGGCTCCTGGTCCCCTTCCTCCTTCCTCCAAAGGCAGGAGAAAGCTGAATTCTCCCGCCATCAGACGCTTGTCCTGAGGAGACATTCACATGGTTACCTGTCAATCAAAGCGAGAGACAATCACACAAAAAGGCACGCTATGATTGGCTTCTTGTTGGGAATCTCTTCTTCCTCAGAGTAACCCCAGACACCTGCACTGTTCTGATTGGGACCTCAGTGGTGCTGATCCTCTTCACCATCTTCTTCTTTCTCCTGCATCGCTGATTAACTCCAACAAAAAGAGTAAGTGTCATGAAGCAAGGCCACAGATCTCAGGAGCCGTGTGGGGAAGCGGGATGGGGTACGCAGGTGTGTGTTCCTCACCAGCAGGATGGTCTCTGGCCCAGGCAGGAGCCCAGAGGCAGGATTTCGAGAGAGAGCACCCAGACACACCCTGTGCTCCACTGCAGCCTTCAGCTCACAGACCATTGCCTGATTCTGAACTGTATCCTCACGTCCTGCAGCCACTGACATCCAGGGAGAGGTTCCATGACAGGCAGAAATTGGAACAGAATCAATGGGATGGAAATTGAGAGCTATTCATAGGAAGGGTCTTGAGCTACAGAGAGACAGAATGTCTGAGCCTGGCTGTTGGCTGAGGGGACCTCGGGCACCTCGGCCTCCCACCCCATGTGTTGGGCTCTGCACATAAGAATGAGTTAGACATTGCCTCAGCTGCTTGTGCCTTTTGTCTCCTACAGATGCTGTAATGGACCAAGAGCCTACGGGGGACCCAGAACAGTGAACAGGGAGGAGTAAGAGTCCTCCTTGGCCCAACCTCATGGATACTGCCTTATTCCCTAATAGTCCTGAGGAATGTGAGCCCCTCCCTCACTCAGCATTTCCCTCTCCAGGACTCTGATGGGCCAGAGCCTCAAGGGTGACATATCACGCACAGTTGGTCACTGTGTTCTCACACAGGAAAAATCACTCACCGCCTCAGAGGCCCGAGACCCCCAACAGATGCAGCATGTACATAGAACTTCCAAATGCTGAGCCAGATCAAAGTTGTCTTCTATCCCGAGCACCACCGTCAGGCTTGAAGGTCTTCTGGGAGACAACAGCCTGTCTCAAAACCAGCCACAGCTCCAATGCTAGCAGCAGGAATCTGAAGGTGTGAGTCTGCATCTTAGAGCATCGCTCTTCTCACACCACGAATCTGAACGTGCCTCTCTCTCGCTTACAAATGTCTAAGGTCCCCACTGCCTGTTGGAGAGAAAACACACTCCTTTGCTTAGCCACAATTCTCCATTCACTTGACCCCAGCCCACCTCTCCAACCTTACTGGCTTACTTCGTAGTCCTACTGGAGGCTGCAGTCACACTGAGGAGCTCACAATTCCAAACATACAGAGCTCCCTTTTAACAGCACTTAGACTCATGCTGTTCCACCTTCCCTCATGTATTTCCACCTCCCCCAGACTATCTTTCAGCCTTCTGTCAACAGTGAAACTGAAAATTTTTTTATCATTTCAATATGGCTCTCTCCTCTTCAAATAAACACGTCTGCCCTCATCCTTTAGGTAATGTGACTCTTTATTCGCGAAAGTTTCTGGTGGTATCGTTACTATGTGTCGTATATGTTCTCCACTGGGTTCTCACCCCTGGACTCTGAGCTTCTATCTGGAAGCAGGTGGAGCCTGATTTCTGTCTGGAACTCGATTTCCATCCAACGATGCAAGCATGGGAGGTTGCAAGGATCGTGAATCAGATGAACAAGTGATATTCTTACTCTCTGCAGACCTGGGGCTGGCAGAGCCATTCCAAGATAGAAACATCTGTAGAGCTAGAAAGCTCTGCCTCTGTGGCTCCTGCCTTGGGCCAGAGACCATTGCCTGATTCTGAACTGTATCCTCACGTCCCTGCAGCCACTGACATCCAGGAGAAGGTTCCATGACAGGCAGAAATTGGGAGACAGAATCAATGGGATGGAAATTGAGAGCTATTCATGGGAAGGGGTCTTGAACTAGAGAGACAGAATGTCTGAGCCTGGCTGTTGGCAGCTGAGGGACCTCGGGCACCTACGGCCTCCCCCTGTGTGTTGGGCTCTGCACATGAAATGAGGACCCAGACGTGCCCTCCCAGCTGCTTTGATGCCTTTTGTCTCCTACAGATGCTGCTGTAATGGACCAAGAGCCTACGGGGGACAGAACAGTGAACAGGGAGGTAGGTCCTCCTTGGCCCAACCTCATGGATACTGCCTTATTCCCTAATAGTCCTGAGGAATGTGAGCCCCTCCCTCACTCAACATTTCCCTCTCTCCAGGACTCTGATGAACCAGAGCCTCAGGAGGTGACATACGCACAGTTGGATCACTGTGTTCTCACACAGGGAAAAATCACTCACCCTTCTCAGAGGCCCAAGAGACCCCCAACAGATACCAGCATGTACATAGAACTTCCAAATGCTGAGCCCAGATCGAAAGTTGTCTTCTATCCACGAGCACCACGGTCAGGCCTTGAAGGGGTCTTCTAGGGAGACAACAGCCCTGTCTCAAAACCGGCTTCACAGCTCCAATGTACCAGCAGCAGGAATCTGAAGGTGTGAGTCTGCATCTTAGAGCATCGCTCTTCCTCACACCACGAATCTGAACGTGCCTCTCTCTCGCTTACAAATGTCTAAGGTCCCCACTGCCTGTTGGAGAGAAAACACACTCCTTTGCTTAGCCCACAATTCTCCATTTCACTTGACCCCAGCCCACCTCTCCAACCTTACTGGCTTACTTCGTAGTCCTACTGGAGGCTGCAGTCACACTGAGGAGCTCACAATTCCAAACATACAAGAGGCTCCCTTTTAACACGGCACTTAGACTCATGCTGTTCCACCTTCCCTCATGCTGTTCCACCTCCCCCCAGACTATCTTTCAGCCTTCTGTCAACAGTGAAACTGAAAAATTTTTTTATCATTTCAATATAGCTCTCTCCTCTTCAAATAAACACGTCTGCCCTCATCCTTTAGGTAATGTGACTCTTTATTCGCCGAAAGTTTCTGGTGTTATCGTTACTATGTCCGTATATGTTCTCCACTGGGTTCTCACCCCTGGACTCTGAGCTTCTGGAAGCAGGTGGAGCCTGATTTCTGTCTGGAACTCCAATTTCCATCCAACGATGCAAGCGCATAGGAGTTTGCAAGATCGTGAATCAGATGAACAAGTGATATTCTTACTCTGCAGACCTGGAAGCTGGCAGGCCAAAATTTCAAAGATGAAACATCTGTAGAGTCATGAGCCTTGTTAGTCTCTCATCTCCACGGGGACACAAAGGAACTGCTATGATTAGCTTCTTATTGGAGTCTCTTCTTCCTCCAGGTAACCCCAGACACCTGCATGTTCTGATTGGGACCTCAGTGGTCATGATCCTCTTCACCATCTTCTTCTTTCTCCTGCATCGCGGGTGCTCCAACAAAAAGAGTAAGTCTCACGAAGCACAGGCCACAGACCTCAGGGTCGTGTGGGGAAGCGGATGGGAGCACGCAGGTGTGTGTTCCTCACCAGCAGGATGGTCTCTGGCCCAAGGCAGGAGCCACAGAGGCAGGGATTTCGAGAGAGAGCACCAGACACCCTGTCCCTGCCTTCAGCTCACAGACCATTGCCTGATTCTGAACTGTATCCTCACGTCCCCTGCAGCCACTGACATCCAGGAGAAGGTTCCATGACAGGCAGAAAGTGGGAGGCAGAATCACTGGGATGGGAACTGACAGCTCTTCATGGGATGGGTCCTTCAGCTCAGAGAGACAGAATGTCTGAGTCTGGCTGTTGACAACTGAGGGACCTCAGGCACCTACGGCCTCCCCTGTGTGTTGGACTCTGCACATGAAATGAGGACCCAGACGTG